AGTAGACCCTCCACTGCGGCAATCAGCAGGCCTATTGTGGCTCACGCCTAATTTTAAAAAATACTTATAGTACCTAATGTTTATAATTTTAGGAGGAAAATTACATCATTATGTCAAGATACAGTGGCTGCTTTACTCTCAAATTTATACAGTAAACCCAATACAGACCATTTAGTAAATCAGTTGAGAAGTATACAGGCCAAATTATCAAGGATCTAATTTTAATTTCAGTGCCTACTATTACTGTTGTGCATTTTTATATATATATATATTTTTTTTGTGTCAAATAGGATAAGAATACACAAAATTAATAAATATATTTTTAAATTTATTCTGTGCATTATTTAAGTTGGATTCGACACAGGAAAATTTGTATGCAACTAGGTTATGTCTTGTTTATATTCCAAACTCGAAGGGTTAAGCGTATCGTTACGTGATCAATGCAGATTCTTGTTTGGAGTTCTCCATTGAATGGAGCCGAAAATTGTGTTGTCATTTTCTGCCAATTTATCATTAGCAACATTGAAATGTTTCCAAATAATCAAAAGTTTCTGTGTTCCTTTGTTGTGTTTTGTCATGGATCTTTATAAATGATCGTACACCATGTGACCAATTTACCTTAACCTTTGATCATAAAGCTTTATGTATTTTATTGTGAACGTATTCCTGTGTTTGGCATATAACAAAATTTGGTTTTGTGTGTATAGTGTTATTATCATACGCCAATTGATTATATTGTTTATGATTACTATCAAGGACAAGAAATTGTATAAAAACTGACTCTGTATTTTGCCACGTTACATCGAAAACCCACCACAGTACAAAAATTTGGCATTTTAATTAAAAATGTATGAAGACAAAAATTTTAAGTTATTAAATAAGCAGCAGTATTTTTATAAGGAACTGATGTGAAGTTATGATTTGTTATTTGTATTCCTCCAAGCAAAAACCTTGAAAATGTACGTCATACGCAGATGTTCGGATTAGGACTACCGCGCTTGAATTCTCCACAAGAGGCGTTAGTGTAGGGTAAGGTAATTGTCACAACGTTAATGTTTATTATGGCTTTTTAACACAGGTTCTTAGTGATTTTTTATGAAAATTAGCTGAAACACATTTAACATAATGATGACAGAAGGGGAAAGTAGTAATTTACTTGCTCAATGGGGAAATTATTGTGCCTTATGTCATTAAAGTTAGGTTATATCAAGCATGAGCATGATGAACACAACGAATGTCATGATTATTACATACAGTTTTCTGTAGTAGACTCCTTTGGTAACGCATAATTGTCAGGATTAAAATGTTTCTTACAAACACACGAATATTTCGAAGGCGCAAAATTATCCCTGCGAATCGCTACCAACCACTGTTTTAGGGGTTTTGTCTCTCGGAAACATATGTTCGCCTTTTGTTTTCGAACAAAATGGAACTGCACAATACTGAGGCATAATTAACAGGTTTTCTTATTTACTAGTGTATGAAATAATTATAATAAAACCCTATAAACGTGTTCTGCGTCTAACAATAACTTTTGACAGTTACGCAGTAACCTCTCTCGCCAGTGGTGGCAACTGTTGAGCCTAAAAACGGTAGCCTTCATTGTGGTTCAAGGAAAAGTGTGGATAGAAATCTTTCACTATTTTCCCAAGAAAGACGCGGGGTTTGTTTATATAATCAATAGCTGTGGTATTGTGGAGAAAATAGATAGAAGATAAGTATGAGAGAAAGCATGATTGATGAAAATAGCATTAACTTCGGCAATGCATGTCCATTTCAAACCAGAGGACTATAATGCAAAAGGTATTTAAAGTTAAAATAGTGAAATTTGTTTGGTTAGATACTTCCACAAACTAATAAAAAATGGTGCCAAATGGGTTAAACTTATTGAATTTACTTACCAACTTTCGATTCATGTAATAGTAAATATTTTCTACTTAAGAAAGAACTCACAAAAACAAATAAAACGAATGTAAACAATTCCAAGAATCAGCTGATATTTACTTTTCTGATCACAGCGCCATATGCGCCGTGGTGATTTTGTTTCAATTGTTTTTTACTCTGCGTAATATACTATCTACAATGACAATGTGGTGTTCTATGGTTGGTGTTGGTGACACTGTGGAAAGAGCTGCTTTTTTGCAATGAAATATGGTTCAAAACAGCGACCTAGATAAAATATTAATATAATGTAAGATCTCTGGCTGACAATCTATGTCATATATTTTCTATGACCATAGATAAAATATTAATATAATGACTTCGACCATAAAACTGTTTTATGGTCGAAGGTTCAAAACACCAAGTACCACTCATTGGTTGAATATAAATTTCTTGCTATATGATTGGTTAAACAAGTAAACCGTGTTGAAATATATTTATTTATGGTGTTGACTTTTTTTTCTGTTCTGTGGTGTTGACCACAGAACAGGTGTTGACCACAGAGAATACAGCTGCATAAATTTATAGGTTAAGAAGTTTAAAATTGCTTAAATTCCTTTTTGTTTTGTAATTAAATTCTTGAAAATGAGTGTATCAAAGACTAAGAAACACAAGAAGAGTAATTCTAAAAAAAGGAAAACAGTTGATGAAACTTATTAATAACTCGGATTCTGACAGTGAGGCTAGTGAACATGAATTATCATATTACCTTAATGATAGGGTAAAACTTATGAAAGAGGTTTTAAAAATTATTAAACCCAAAAGAATTAAAAATATGGCTCCCGATTGCATAAAAGTAAGTTAAAAGTTTATAAATGTAGTGGGATACCAATTACCATCGACTTAACTTGATTATTTCTAGAACATAGATAATGAAGACATTAATTCCATGTTATTAGAGGAACTATTGGGTATATCAAATAAGAGAGTAAAACGGATTTTTAATGGACAAAATTTAGAGGAAGATAGTAGTAGCTCAACAGACCCTGAAGAAGAGCAACAACCAATAGACATAATATCTTTAGATGATGTCTCTGATGATGATTTTGTTATTGATCTAGATTCAGGTAAACTTATGACTATAATTGAAATTGCTAGATATAAATAAAATACAGTGAGAATTGATTCAAGTTGAACAGGCATTAAAGGAAAGCAGATGATGTACGTGTAGATTTGTTATATGGAGTATTGATGATGGTTCTCACTATAGGTGAGGCAGGCATATTTAATGCAAATCATTATTTGCTTTCCTTTTAACACTTGTTCAACTTGAAACAGCACTCGCTGTATACCTATTATAAATGTTTATAATTGATTTTTTAATTTTATGCAAGTAAATGTAAATATAAAGAAACCTTTTATCCAAGAAAATAAATATTAAGTTTCAAAATGTCACCATAAATATGCTTGGTAAAATTATCTCATACTCACACTTTTGTTCAGGTAAATTTTTCTGTAACACCCATATTGGTTAGTTTCAGTATTTTATATTTTAAGATTTATCTACCTCAAGGTTTATTGTAAAGGCAAAACTGTATTTACAGTTTCTTGCGGTTTTGTAAGTCAATATATGAAGTACCTTTACTTAAATAGTCAATATACCTATGTATAAAAAATTCTCTTAATTTTATTTATTTCTAGATGCCACATCAGAAAAACAAGGACACAAGAAGCATAGTAAAAAAAAAGTCAAAGTTGAGGATCACAAAAGAAAGAAAATAAAGAAGGAGAAACAAAACAAGGCTTCAAAGAAATCTAAAGAAGTTGACAGAGATAAAACTGATGATCGGGAAAATTTAATGAGTGTCTTAGAGCTATTAGAATTACAAGCAAGGGCTAGGGCGATTAAATCTCAGTTAGCTTTAGAAAATAGCAGAAAGGCACAAGAGAAAGAAAATAATACTGTCAAAGTGGAAGAATCAGACCATGAGGATGCTGTTATAATTGAGAGTCCAAAGAATATTGAAATTCTTATAACTTCCAGTGAATCTGAAACTGAAGATTCTAGAAAACATTCTGAGTATAATAATCAAAATACTAAAAAACACACTGATAAGCAAGATCACAGTATGAGAGAAAATAACAAAGAAAATGGAGAAAATTTAAATCAGGCAATGACAGTAGGTACTGATGATAATGAAGATACTTTGGAAGATCAGGCAAAAGAAATAGAAGAAAGTAGAATAAATGACAAAGATGAAATTAGAAGTGTAAGTGGGAATAAAAGTGTTGAGCTTGAGAATCAGTTAAGTAATAATGAACAAAACAAACCTGAATGCAGTGAACACATTGAAAATAGAGAAGAAATTAGTACTGTGAGTGGTACTGAAAAAGAAAAGATAATATGTAACGAACAACTTGAGAGAATAAACGTGGAAATTGGTGAATCATCTGAAGGGAAAAAATCACAAGCAGTGAAATCAAGTAATACAAAAGAGAATGCCATAACAAGAGATTGCACACAATCAAAGTACATATTTATAACTGATAGTGAATCAGAAAATGATAAAACAAATAGAACTAAAAAAAGACACAGAAAATGTAAGAAAAGTAAAATGAAGAAAACAAATGATGATATTGAGGGTGGTGATAAAAAATCAAGAAGTATTGCTAGCAATAGAGATCATAAACGTAAAATACCTGATATTAATAGAGAACCTGAAGTCAGTGGCTCATCAAAAAATGTGGATGAAGCAAACATTGCAAATGACACAAAAAAAAGTCAACCCAGATGACGGAGTCGGAATTGTTATAAATATGGATCAATCAGAAATTGACTGTATAATTTCAGATTAATAATGTTTTAATTTAATTTAATTAATTTATTATTAATCATTAACTTTCTACAAGATCTGTCAAAATTCTTACAAATTTTTTTGTACATGTATTTTAGCCTGGTCAACGAGAATTAAATTAAACTCCACAGGTAATGCAAATCCCTGTATCCCTGAAGGTACCTCAAGGTACCTTGTGTGAGAGAAGGCTATACATTTTGAGACAATGGACACATGTCCAATGTCCGAGTATGCTAGGATTAATTTCTAGTTTAGAAAAAATCCTAGCTTCTTGACAGGGGATCGAACGCGGAACTCTAGGATGAGAGGCAAGTGTCCTTACCACTTGACCATGAAGCCATGAATATGAAATAGAACTTTTTGATTAATGATTTCTCAAAACATTTTCTTGAGAAAAGTTGATGCATGATCTTAAATTAAATACTGGTTACATAAATTTGTATTAGTTCAGATGCTTAGACAAAAAAATCAAATTATTTCAGATTGACTCAAGAGTAAACTACCCTTATTATTTAAGGTACCGAAAAATTTAATTAAAAAAAAAATGCTTTCTATTTCCAAATTATGCCCAAATATGAAATTAGGTTGAGCAATTCAAAAAAAATTAAAATCTCGTCTTTCGCTTTTTGTTCCAGAACAAAATTGATTATTATCATTAACTTGAGACAAATATTTTCAATTCAGCAACATTTACCAGAAAAACCCGTAACAGTTTACTTTGTTAAAATTTTATTGATGATTTGCCCAAATTTTTTTTTTTTTTTTTTTCAAGAAAAAGTATCGATTTTGTTTCACAGGAGATTCCATTGGCTCTGTAATAATTTAAATATTTTTCCACACTGTATAAACCCAAAAAACGGGTGGATTGGATTTTGCAATTATTGCACATTATTTATCGAATAGGTCAATATACATATACTAATATACAAGGTGGGTTAGTTTTTGATCGGAAAACTTAAAGGATCGATGAAACATGCCATAATCATATGGATTTGTCATATAAACTTATAGCTAAAAATGCTTAGTTTTTGAGATAGAGTGCGTTGAAGTTTTAATTTATTTTCAGTTTTTCTCATATTTCTCGGGCAATAAAAAATTGTTATGAAATTCGGAAGGTGAACGTTACGAACATCAGTACACTCCCCACCATAGTTTTCTTCTCTATATTCCAACCAGAAGATATTCTTCCCAAAAAAACGGGATGCCACTAACCTAAATTAACTGGCCTACCATGTATTGTCTGCTCTTGAGTCAGTTTAAAATAATTAGATTTTCTGGCATAAGCACCTAGACTAATACAAATCTGCGTAACTAGTATTTAAAACTATGCACCAAATTTTCTAAGAAATTGTTAAAGAAAAAGTTTTTCATTTGTTTCAAACTTTTTGTACCATGTTGTATATGTGATGGATGCAGATTAACCTGAAGAGGTTTGTTGGAATGCTGGAAGGATTGGTGGCTTCGACAGACTCAACTAACCTATAGTGCATCTGCGTTTGACACCACAAATTAAGTTTGGAAAGTAAGCAACGATGACGGCAGTGTGTCAAGATCCATGTCTCTAGCAAGATGACTAGGAGTTCAAATCGTAAGATGAATTATGTAAAATCGTGAGATCGGTAGCCCGTGAAAAATCATGAGAATTCGTTAAACTGGAAAAGTGGAAAACCATTTATAAATAAAATAACGTCAAACCTGAATGTAATACAAAACTTATTTATTGAAAAATGAAACAAAGACATACAATTTATAAAGAATCATAAATAAAATATTATTATATGAAAAACTAAATTGCTTTGAGCAACTTAAGCTCTTATTGCAATTACCGTATGAATCTTTAAACAAAATAAAACTTAAATTGTGTTTTTCTTGTTCATAATCAGTAATAAATGAAACAAACGAGAACTGGTACAAAACAGGTTTTTAAATACAAATTAGAACACATAAATGGTCATCAATTTCTCAACGATACACAGCAATTCATAGTGGATTATCTATTATTCGTTGTTTTTTTTGTTTTTCTAATACGCGTGCGTTTTTTTATTTTTTAAATATGTAAAAAAAAATTTTTAATTTACATTAAGTACTACATTAATTAAAAATAATCATTTAATGAGCTTATATATATTCTTTAACTTGTTTTGCTACCTTTTACTTTAATTTTCTACACTACAATTACTAGTTAAATGAGGTTCTATGTTCTGGAATAAAAAAATGTGTACCTATTTTTGTTTTTATGCTGTTCCTTAGGAAGTGGCTTTATACTTATTATTTCCTGTTAGGTGGTTAGGTGAGGAGCCTTGCTAGATCTTGCCACCCCTTTAAATAAATTTTGTAATGTTTTCTTTTATACATTAAATAAAGACATATTATTATTTTTTTTTTCCGGTTTCCCGATGCCGGTCAGTCCTCCCGTGGCCTCCGACGCCTCACGGGAGTCGCGCCGGCGGATCAACTACAGCCACATCCCGCAGGGTTAGTGACTGTAGATACCAGAATCGTGTGCCCTAAGCAGACGGAGAGAACCCAGAATGACCGCCTTCTGCATTTGACCTGCCAGCCACTCGGCTGGTTTTTGGCAGGCCGGTATGATCTTCAGTTCCGAGAGCAGCGTAGGCTTTATCCCTCCGAGTACACCGATTATAAGGACGACCATCTTTACCGAGTAGCCTGGGTACAGCACTTGGAGCTCGTACCGGAGATCTCGATATTTGGTCCGTTTCTCCTCCTCCTTTATTTGTGTTACATCTTGGATGTGCCTTTGTTGCACACCCAGGTATGTATAGGTCTCTCCGGCATCCAGATGTCTTAGGATGCTTCCGTCTGCGAGCTGCGCATCTTCAGGAAATTCCCCGCATCGTCCTCTCTTGAGGTGGACGACTGCACATTTGTCCAACCCGAACTCCATACCAATTGCCCGCGTATATTCTTCGACCACCCTAAGAGCGTTTTGTAGTTCGCGCTCTCCGGAGGCATAAAGTTTAAGATCATCCATATAAAATAGATGGGTGACCTTATGCCTCCGGTCGCTAGGTGGTCCACATTGATACCCGCGGGTTTGGCGGAGCCCAGCAGACAACGGTAGCAGTGAGATGCAGAAGAGGAGAGGACTCAGGGAGTCGCCCTGGAAAACCCCTCCTAAATGCCACCTGCTCTGTCGTGACCCGCTGTGCACCTGATGTTATGGTGAAGCGAGTCTTCCAGAGTGGCAGCAGCTGTTCTATGCATCTCACTAGTGGTGCTGGTACCGCAAGACATTCGAGCAAGTGCAACAATAGCTCGTGCGATGTTGTATCAAATGCCTTGCGGTAGTCAATCCAGGCCATCGATAGATTCCGCTTGTATTGCACAGAATCCTGTGTAATACAGCGGTCTATCAGCAGGCTGTCCTTGCAACCTGCCATGCCCTTCTTGGCACCACGCTGTTCATGTATCTGCTGGAAAACCGGATCAACAGACCTCAGTGTCCTAGCATACAAGATACGTGTAAATATCTTGTAGCAAGAATTGAGGCAAGTGATCGGCCTATAATTCCTCGGGTCGGAAAGATCCCCCTTTTTGGGGATAAGCACAGTACGTCCCTCGACAAACCAGTCCGGAATCTGCTGCCCCTCGTTCAACCATGAGTTGAAAACTCGCGCCAGACGGCGGTGAGTGGAAGGAAATTTCTTCTACCACCAGTTGTTAATGCCGTCTGGGCCCGGGGCAGCGAAGTTCTTGGTACCAACAAGTGCTTGCTGGACTTCCTCCGTACTGATTGCCGGGCACACTTCATCTGGCTCTTCACGATGTCTGTGACACAGAGCCTCGAAGTGTGCAATTGCTGGAGTGTCGCTATTGAATGGACGCGTCGTTTTGTAGATTCCCTTCCAGAAGGTTTCGACATCTTCTACAGTCGGCGGATTATCTACAACACGCTGTGGCTCTTGAAAGAGGCGGGAAGGATTCGTACAGAACAAATTATTTTGTTCCATACTCCTCACCCGCCTCTTGAATGTTCTCTTTATCGCCATGAGCGCTCGTATCCTATCTAGACAGTGCTGCTTGATGGTAAGCATCACTGTCAGATTTAGAGTATGGTGTTGATGTCTTAATCCGGCTGCTATGCGCCGGATTCTGGGAGTAAAAGCTCTACCAGTCGTCTTATATTCCGCCACACTCTGGATCCGAGAAGCGTGTTGTCTGGCCGACTGTATCTTGCCCTCGATTTTCTGTACACGCCGCTTGGCTTTCTCGACCCCGTGATTGGTTGTCCTCTCACGGGGGACGAGTTGCTTCGCGGCGTTGTACACGGCACTGTTGATTTGCCAGATGTCGGCATCTTCCGGAATTTCCTCATCGATGACCTCGTCCATTCTAGCTAGGTCTTGTGGCTTTAGGTTAGCCCTGGTGTTAAGGCTAACCCTCGTCCTTAAGTCTACATCGGTGAACTCTAAAGGGTGTTCCCCATCAGCTAATAATTGCCGCGGTGGGACTGCGGCTGGCAGTTCTTCCGGCTGACGGGGTGCCCTTACATAACCTGTCCTGAGCAGAAAGGATACTTGATCTCTCAGATATTGTTGAGAGAAGGCGCGATGCTCTGGATGCATTTCGCACCAAAGTGCATGCAATCGCGCCATGTATCCCCTTCGCTCAGGTTCGCTACTCTCGCGGCAGGTCAGTAAGTCATCCCGAAGTTCCCTCGTCCACTTAAAGCGTCCATGTACAATCGCATTGTCATCATCGTTAGGACCGTCCGGTAAGGCCCCTCCCATCTGTCCTTGACCTCCATCCGACTGAGGTCGAATGTGAGGGGCCCTTCTAAGGTTATATGGAACCATAGTAAAAAGAGTACCAGGGTAGTTAGCCCTGGTACTCCCGGCCGGCATTAGTCAGGCAGAGTTGCCTCTGCCTCTCCAGGGTGCACCAACGTGGAGGTTGCCGGTCCTTTGCACCCTCCACACATTATTATTATTATGTTTATAATATGGTAGGCTAAATTTAAGTTTATAATATCCGTTTTTTATTAACTGAATTTTTCTTTTTTATGATGATCATTTTGTTAAAAATTCGTTATTTTAAATTGTTGTCTTGGCTAATTATTTCTATGTTTCCAAATGCAGAAGTATGCCCTTCTTTGGTATGAGTAACTAAATGCTATTTCATTAATTACATTTTTTGTAAATTATTTGGAGTTACATCATTTTTATATTCATATATTCTCTTTAAATATCTTTTGGTCTGACCTATATATATACCTTGTTACAATTGTTGCATGGAATGCTATAAATAACAGATATAAGTTCTATTGGCGTTTGTGATTTAATTTTTGTGAAAAACCTTTTTATTGTTTTCACTTT